TTGAGGTGATATTATCGTTGAGGTGATAACTAGGCCCGTGCGGAGCACGGGCAATTTCATTGAAATTCTGCTACAGCAGCCGTTGGGCCCGAGTAAGTCAATTGATGTTTCCTGGTTTCAATTAACGCACGTTGACTGATTTCTATGGATATACGGCATTATTCGACACAATAGAGATCCTTAAATCTAAGAGTTGAATACATGCATCGTTTGAAAACGAGTGGAAAACTACTCGAATCAAATACCCGCCTAACAAATAAAGACTTGTGGAATGTTTGAGTTTAGTGTACCATGTTCTTCGTCGGAGTCCGAGGCTCCGATGACAGTTTCGTCAGATTCATACCCGTCGTCATCGCCGTAGAGTTCATTCAGATCTTGTTTAATCTGCCCGAAAGGTACGGGCCTGGATACCGATTTTGGAGTACCATCTCCGGGTCTATTTGTGAAGGAGGTGCTGGAACTTGGTTCGGGTTCGTGATCATCATCTTCAGACGAACTTCCACTATCAGAGCTGCTCGAGCTTTCCACAGTAGTGTCTGCTTCGTCAGTCTGTTCATCTACAGTTGCATCCATGTCAATGGAATCACGCAGCACCATATTCGATTTGCGGAGAGTTTCCTGTGTCCAGTTCCACTTCTTTTTGCAGCAGCATTGCCAACAAACATCCTTTGAAGGATTGATGACGATACGGAAACCTTTCTGTTGGCAGATGCAAGCAGCGGCAAGCCTTGCTAGCCAATTATCATGTGCCCTGACAACTGCCACCCTGAGTTTGCCAAGATCTTTTGGAACATCTAGTAATTCTTCCCAATTATCGATAGACACGAGTATCGACGGTATTGTTGGGGAGAATCCCGTACACTTTACCGTATTGCGGCGTACAGCATCATTGTCATTCTGAGATACAGGTAGGACATCGATGTCAGCAATCCACTGATCTCGATCATAAACCTGTATAAGCGTCTCCACGAAACAAAGATCCTTATCAATGGCTCCTCTTTCTCCCACGTCGACGGGGAGCTCGAATTCAGTGAAAGTCAAGTGAAGCGAAGTGGATCTAAAGCTGTCTTCTGATTTGCCATTGAACGGATTATGGCAAACAAGACGGAATTCGTTCAAGTTGACTCCTTTCGTTCGTGGTGCTTGCGGGGCGACCATCAAGACCATTCCTGTTTTACCTACATTTCCAACTACTCGACGCACGTCATTAACGTGGTCAAGAGAACCTGGGTCGTTATGAAGCAATGCGGAGGCAAAAATACTGTTGCGAGACGAGATGGCAATCACATCTTTCATCACAATTGGATCAATGTTGTACAAGCCTGATTCGAACACTGCTATGCATGCAAACTTTTGCCCGCGGCTGAGAAATCGTACACCTTGAGGTGGAAGCCACAGAGACTGGTGCAATGGTGTGCTGATGATTTTGAGATTGATCGTTGCGCCTGGTAGATCAGCAAACGTTTGGGTTGCAAGCGAAAGGGCGTGGAGAGAGTCGAAAAGAGACTGATCAGTGAAGCGGTGAATCTCAAGACCCTTCCGAAATGTAGGCGTGCCAATTATGTCTCCTTCCTGGATTGTAGCAAGGTAGCGTACTATATTCCTTGGAGATATCTGACCTGTCTTCAAAGAGCTGATCACCTGATCAATGGTCTGGAATCTTTCCGTTTGTGCCCTTTTCTGTGCTTCATACAACCTCTTCTTTCTGGCACGAACACCAATATCGAATCTCAGGAACAAGCCTACGTCAGTTTCCGATCCTGCAATTAGCACAAAGGATGGAGGCCCAACGCTTGTAGCCTCGTAAAAGCAACTGCAAAGACATTGCCTGGCATCATGAATCGCAAATGGTAGATTGTTTCCAGCATGTGTTTTTTCTTTGGCACATTTGAACTTGATCCCGAGATCGCTTAGTGGTGGTGCAAGCAAGGGATCCACAGTGATGGATAGAGGGCCCTTTCTGTATCGAACAGCCTCGTCATCATTCATGTTTCTGTACTTGTAGCATTCCTCCGAAATCTTGTTCATTCTCATATCATCTCTTCGACAGCCTGGACAAGGACTGTTTTGTAGGCCCATACCTTCTTTATGACAGGCATTAGAGCAATTTTGACCATAAAGAATACAGGGGCATCTTCCTACGTGACAATGGTGACCCGTCTCGTGACATTCACACATTACAGCCCACGAGGAAGACGGTTTGGTCTCGATCCAAGTGATGTGGTATTCGCGATTCGTGTCCTTGTGCGGAATCGCTGTGAAATGTTTATGTCCACCTCTAGCTCTGATGATGCATTCTGCATGTTGAAGATCCAGCTGTCGCGCAATGTATCGCATCATCTCAACCTCTGTTGCTTCGCTCTGGATTATTGTGGAGTCAAGCCGATCCTGTACCTTGAGGAGATGGAGAATCCAAGAATCACACAATCCAAATAGGGCAGGTATACTAGATGCGCTCTCCCGCAACAAGCTTCTACCACGCCTTTGGCCAAGTGCGATGGTGTTCACTGCCAAGTCTCTTTCAGTGCCCTCTAAAGTGAGGAGCTTCCTTGATGCTATGGCAAACAAGTGGATCCAGTGCCATTTCCAGGGCTGAAAATCAGGGGTTTCATTGGAACGAGATGTTATCTCATCCAGACAGACAAAAAACTCAGCTGCTTTGAGAATATATGGTGTGTAGAGGCCCCCCCCGATCAGCAAGTATACTGCCTAGAACGAGAAGATGGAACTCATCGATGTTTAGCCTAGAAGCATCTCGTGTTGTGACACTCGTAACCCTAACCGGATCTCCGTAGAAGCGAAGGTGCGATAACGAAAGAGACCAGTAAACACCCTCGTCTTTGCCAGGATCTGGATTCGACAGCCCAATGGTGAGTCGACCAGACTCTTCCACGACGGGATCATTGAAGTTGACGGGGGTGGGAACATCTCCCAAAACCAGAATATTGGGATAAATGTGCCAAGCAGCTAGGCCAAGTAAAACAGACCCTTTCGTGACATTGTGCGGTTGCCCTCGAATAACTTTCTCGATGGTTACTGTCGCTGTTTTCCAGGCCTCAATGGCACGTGCATATGTTCCGAAGGATGTTGCCCCTTGATTCACTGGAAGGTTCACATTGTTGATGATGAGCATAAGCTGTTTTTGCCGGCTGATCTGCTCATCATCTGCGACTTAGAGCCAGGCCCTAGTAGATGCGTCCAATTCAGCAAGATCGTTTCGAGACAGGTCTGCAGATAACGCCAGGCCAATTTGAGCAGAGTCATTGTAAATTCCATCGTTGATCTGTGTTCGCAATTCTTGCCGCCGAGCCTCAACGATCTCCACCCAGATGGAAGTAGCTTGGGAACTAGACCAGGCTCGGGCGAGCATACAGGCCAGAAGGTGAACAGCAATAGCTGTTTTACCAGATGTTGCTGCGGCCCAGACAGATGTTCCATCCATGCCGGCGCACTCAGCAAAAACGCCTCGATTAGATAAGAGCCCTTCGTTCGAGATATCCCTAGATATTTCTGATACTCTGGATCCATATGCTCGTACTAAGTGAGGAGTATGTGGCGCGATATCCTCGAAGACGGCACCAAGACGCCGGGCAGTCCTATGGACAGAACCATCTTCCGCAATTTCCCGACGTTGACGAGTCAAGGAGCGACCTAGGTCTTTGAACTCACTTGGAGCCTCCTGCTTGACCAAAGACAGATCGACATTGAAGTTAAAGAGAGCTAGCGTATTTTCGTTCGTACCAGATATCACAGATGCGTTGAATCGGCTGATCGACATGACGTAGTAATCAAGAAGATGGCTGACGAGTAGATAGAACAGGGAGAGACATGTGGACCAAAGTCGCGTGGTATTGCGCTCTCATAGAAACCAACCTTTTTCCATATAAATTTTGGCAATAAGGTCACTCATGGCGACCACCGGGTTCATATAGTAGATTTATCCCATTTACACAGAAGCACACTTGATGCAGTTTGTTATACGATTGGTACGCATGTCACGCATGCGGGGTAGACGACAGGGCTATGCATGGTTTCAGGTGAGGTCGCGTAATCGCAGTAACTGAAAAGAGCAGGCTTTAACGAGATAGTGCAGTCTACAGCAGCTCTAATTGGCTAGTGATATCATCCTCCCGTAAGCTTTGTCCACGTAGCTAGCGCTGGGGAGTCGATTTGCTGAATTGAATGTAACCAAGGATAGCTCTCTCAATCGCCACATTATCACCATTTGCAATTGCAATTCTGAGGCATGACCAAGTTAACTCGAAATTCAAGAAATTTAACTCTAGTTATTCTAGACTCTACTAAAACATCGCAAGAATTGGAACGTTTACGTGAAGCCGTTCCACATTCAACCGTGACGACTCGTATCGAATATAACCCACGAGTGAGAGAACCCCGAGGAGACCACACGACATCAACCTCACGAACTCTTCTCTCGTCTCTCAGCAAGCGTATAGAATATACTCCCGTCGTATATGCGACGGATATCCTCTTTCATCATTCTGCCGTCCTCGGGCCAGAGCATTATGTACGTAGCAATCCCTGTGTTTATTAGCTTCACATTCTGCAAACAATAACACTTATATTGACCTACATTCAAAGAATGCACCACCCCAACCAATTGGATCCGCAATGCACCGTTGCCCTTTGAGCACGTTGCTGACATCCCATATTGTCAAATAATCCCTTCCATCGGCATATTTGGCAAATATGTCTTCAAACTTTTGTGGCAAAAAGCGTCCTTCAGTATCGTATGTCCCAGTGTCACTACCATGCTTGTCTTTGTGTACATTCTCAAGGAATAAACCTAAGATTGTGGTACATGAAGTTAGCATAGATCTTATGCGATTATAGATGGAACCACTTACGAAAGAATGGATCAGGTAACCATCCAGAGCACGTCGGGTAGGAGAAATTAGCGTGGATGACGAAAACAGCGACGATGGATAGGATGACACCAAAACCGAGACGGTAGAAGCCGACAAACGTATCCTGTGGCCAAAGAATGCCATCGTGATCGCGGTCAAAGAAGTCGCAATGTTGTTGTAGAACGGTCTGGTGGGAATGCTGCTCTTTCCAACCCTTGGTGCCTTGGGGGGATTCTACCGATAGGGCGAGATTCGCACGGGCCGTGCCTGGTTGTATCAGAGATGCAGCTGCGGATTGTTCCATGTGCGAACACATACCTGGATGCTGAAGCTTAGAGCCTTTCGAGTCCATGAACGGTTTTCGTTGTTCGGTGATAGGTACATCGCTAATGGAGCGCACCACCCCATCATCTTTATCTGTGAGACGTTCAGAATGCCTCATGATTTCAGCCATGTTTCTAGTGTCAGCCATGTCTGTACTAGGTGAATGATAGTCAAAGTCGAAAGTGAGAAACCAAGATCATATAAGAGAACTCGCAAGCATAATGATGCCATCCTATGCTCATGCACTTGCAGGTGAAAGGTGCCGTCATTTTTCTTTAACATGACGTCACGCCATCCAAAACAACATTCAACTTTGACACATGTGAAACTCACACGAACCAGCATACGACTAGCGCGTCTCTGTCTCCACGCAGCTCATGTCAGGAACCACTGGCCGGAACTAATACTAGGTGGCGAAAGAGGCCTCTTTTTCGCTAAAATAGGCTTAGCGTTGGAGTTTCGAACAGTTCCCCTTATCAATGCAAGGCAAGAATAACAAGGTAGCCCTACTAGAGCGAGGTACATTTCACTACGTAAAGCATGATATTGGAGAATTCTTACGCTACAAATAAAAAGGAAAAATGAACGGTCTGATCCGCGCTAGACTATACTGGGTGACAAGCAGCATCTGATTCGCGTTGCATTTGTGTGTTTTTGAATCAGGGTGCGTAGCTGCCCGGTTGAGTTATATCTGGGGTAAAACCTGGATAGCATTATATACTTGGCCAAATTCATTTCCATCCCCCATTGCGACTAGTATTGGGCTACGGGATGACGATATATGCAAGCTCATCCCGCACAGTGGCCTGATATGAGAACTGTAACAATAGTGCATCAAAAAACTTCTCTTACGGGATGCTACAACTCGCTCCAACTTCAGCGGCTATATTGGCTGTTGTTGCTAGCTTTGTAGTAAGTATCCAAATTCGCCATTGGATCTCCATCACGCTATGCGACACTGACTAAGAGTCGAAGTGGTACTGCATTCTTCGAGCCTTCTACAACTTATACATACACCCCTTAAGAGCGTTCCCGGGCCCTTGGTTGGCCAGAGCTGGCGTTCTATGGCATTCCTATCATAGTCTCCGCGGCGATCTCCAATATGCTTTACACCAGATGCATCTAAATTACGGCCCGACCATTCGAATCGCACCAAACGAACTCATTTTTCTTGATCCGAAAGCATGCAAAGACATATATGGTCATCGCAATGGAACCCCGGAATACATCAAGGATCCATCTCTAATCTTTACTGCCGACGCCGGCCCAAGCCTCTTTTCCGTTCCCAAGGATGACCACTCGAAGCTAAGACGACTATTGTCTCACGGCTTTTCGGAAAAAGCACTACGACAGCAGGAATCCGTCATTTCTGGCTACGCCAATCTTCTGGTAGACCGACTGCGCCAGGTTTATGACAAACCAATCGACGCGGCTGCATGCCACGATGTATGTCATGCTATATAAACAATGATCACAAAGTCTGAACATGATGTGTAGTATTTTGCATTCGACGTGATTGGTCATCTAGTATACGCGGAATCCTTCGATTGTCTTTCGCGCTCCGAATATCATCCCTGGGTCAAGTTAATTTTCAGTACCATGAGGGTAATCTCCTGGAACAGGTCTTTCAATTGCCTAGCACCACAGATTACTCGGCTTCTGATCAAACCTGTGCCGCAAAAAGTCGTCGACGAAGGCCATGCACTTCTGGAGATGACAAGGGCAAAGCTTCACCGGAGAATAGAAGCCAAGCTACAGTATACAGACTTGATGGAGAATCTCTTAGTGGCTCAGAAACAGGGCAAGATCACGATGGACGAGGTGTTTGATAACGCCACCCCCCTTAACGTTGCTGGCAGCGAAACGACATCTATAGCTCTTGCAGGGGCTACCTATTTCCTCCGCCAAAATTCCGAGGTATATCAGAAACTAAAGACAGAGGTTTGGTCAGCTTTCAACCACAGGGGTGAAATTAACATTTCAAAAGCTGCCGGCTTGCGCTATCTGGCGGCAGTAATCGATGAAACAATGCGTCTATAACCCCCCCTCCCCAACGAATCATCCTCGCCTGGTTACACCCGAAGGCGAATTTATCGCTGGCCACTTTGTCCCGGGCAATACCTTGGTCGGCATCAGTCAATATGCTGCATTCAGATCGCCTCACAACTTCGCCTGGCCCGACGAATTCGCTCCGGAGAGATTCATAGACTCCGACCAGCCAGCATGGGCAAATGACAAACGGGACGTCCTACAACCGTTCCTTTTCGGACCGAGAAACTGCATTGGCAGAAAGTAGGTTTGCCGAACACAAAAAGAAAACACGGTAACCTTGGCTAACCTCGTACCTGTAGTCTGGCATTGATTTAAATGCGACTCGTCTTGGCCTTGGTCGTGTTTGAGTTTGACATTGAGGTCTTGCCGGAGTCCAGGGACTGGATGAATCAAAAACTCTTCACAACTTGGACTAGGCCGCCGCTCATGGTTCGTTTAACACCAGTTGCGCGCTAGTCCACCACGACACATTTTCTTTGGAAAAAAGTATGGTTACATGGGATATCTATCCCATGCTATGACGATTCTAGATTCAGTTACTGTCAACTGAATGTATTCAAAACCTAGAACAATACAGTGTCAGTTAACCTGCAACCGCATCTACTCCTCCCTTCTTGTTGCGGGCAAATGTTATCTTGACAAGTTTAAGTGTATTGTCTTTTCCTATCATTAAACAGGACCCTTGGCGCTGTACTTTCTAACGTCACAGGCACGTACGTCGGGCGGCGCGGTATGGTGATGATAGGTGTTGTACTGGTGGCGATGCTCGGCACGTCTCAGAGCTACCTCAACTACATGGTGTGCAGGTGCATAAATGCGGCTGGTACTGGTCAGCTCTTCGTTTCCGGTATTATATAAATCACCGAGAGCGCGCCGCCACACCATCGCTGGCTCTTGATGGGCACCTACAACGTCGCTCTGACGGTGGGCAATGGGATAGCTACCGGCGTCTGCGCTGGTTCAGCAAGACAGAGTCCAACCAACGACTGGCAGTGGAGAGTTCCAATCGCCTGCCAGATCCCTCTCAGCGTGCTGCTGGTGGTAACATTCCTGTTATTCCCTAAATCACCGCGGTGGCTGATTCCTCGACGCAAATACGACGACACTAGAGTGGATCTCCCCAAGTTCTTTGATCTCGACCAGCACGCGGAAGCTGTCACTACGCAGATGGATATCATTGCGGCAGCCATCGAAGTTGGAACCCACACAAAATCTTCATCGGCTTGGATCAGCACCTACCATCCTCTCACTTTTCCAAAGTCAAACATCCTAAGTATTCTTTTACCTTTCATAAATACTTCTACATCTACACTGCGGGGCTACTTGATTGCTATGTAACATCTAACTAAGCACCTCCTTTCCCATATCGTTCGCACACATTACTCCGAGTATGGACAACCCCTCCTTGTTGGCGGCTGTTTCAATCTCTCTTCTCTCTCCCGTCCTCGTATGCCCAGGGAATGCTGCTGGACTTGGTGCAAATTCCCACTATGTCTCCGCTGACTTCTCCTGTGCCTCCAACTTCGGGGTCTCGGTCTCAGGCATCCTTACAAAAGGCACTAGCAGCGCGGCAAAGATGGTGGCGGCCGACACATCGACGCAGAAGACGAACACGTCCTTTATTCCAACCATGTACGCATTGCGCACCTGGTCCAACTGCGAACCGTTGTAGAGGGTCTGTAGCTCTCCTGCTCCGGAGCTCAGGACCCTGCTAATGTCAATGTATTTGGCATTCCCAATCAAAGTCTGCACCATCAAATTCGCAAAGATCGACTACGCCGCTACAACAAAGTACGCACTAGTTGCTGTTTAGAACGCTGCAATATGTGTTAGCATATCGCCACAAACGCGGATAAATTGCCAGAGTACTCACTGGAAATGATGCCAGTTGTTGCCACGACGTCTTCCGCTGAAGCGGATGCCTGCAGCACGGTGACTGGAACCTGGTTGCCGAGCCCAATGCCGAGACCAAATAGCACCTGCGCTCCGATGTACCATGCGTTGGAGGCGTTGACATCCGTGGACCACAGTAGAGCCGCGCCGAGAGTTGTGACGAGGCCACTGGTGATGGTGAAAGGGTGGATCATGCGGGTCTTGCCCATCATACCACCGCTGGTGATGGCCGATGTGCCCTTGACATCCTGAAAGTAGATTGGAAGGTAGAAGAGAACTAGGAAGTTCGCTCCTGGGTTCAGCCAGCCGTAGATGCAGTTAGCCTAGGTCATGCGCGGCTTCAAGAAACGCAAGGGCACACCCGCGTAGTCTCCCTGAAGCCACTCAACACTTACAAAGCCGATAGTGAGCACAAAGAAGAGGATGAGCGTGGCAATAACTAAGCCATCTGACCATGGCTTGGTTAGACCTCCCTATTCTAGTGCCAATGTGAAGCGGATGAGTGAGGTTAGCAAGAAGCTGAAACTGGGAATGTCGGTGTAAAGGATAATCTCTTTCTACGTTGTAGGAGCCAACTTGATATGCTTTGGAATATGTAAAAAAAGGATTTGTAGCAAGATTGCGACACCTCCGACAGGCAGATTGATCCAGAAGCACTAGCACCAGCTAAAGTCTGAAGTGAAGACACCTCCCAGAACCGGACCTAGGATTGTAGCTGACATGACTGTTTCACATTAGCGCATTGCTCTTAAAAGTAGCAGAAACCGGAGATTTAGGACTGATTCTTGCAAACACTAATCCATATGCCAATCAACCTGGGACGACTACTCGGAGTAGCCGTGAAGTTGATGATAAGGACGGATCCGCTGAGACAGCCTGAAGACGCACATGGTCAGCCAGCAAGCCCATGGAAGCCTTGATCAAGTAGCCCACTTACCTGAGCAACCAAGACCTTGCAGAGCTCTTCCCACGACCAATGCGATGCCGTTGGGCGCTGCCGCGGCCACGATACTGCCCACGAGGTAGATGCCAGGTGCCGCCATAAACACGTATCGTGCAGATAGGTATTTGTACAGCTTACCCGACAAAGCACTGCTACTGCCGACAAGGAGGAAGCATGCGCCGCTGTACCAGCCAATGTATTCCAAACCATTGAAGTCCCTCGTGATTGCCGGAATAGCTGTGGCTACAGTGCCCTGGAGTCGTGTATCAGCACATTTCATGTCTTCAAGATGCATGCACGATACCTACCAGATCTAAGGAAGCAATGAGGATGGTCAGGTTGATGGTGGCCATGACGGCGGTAAGGCGCCATCCAGTGTAGTAGACGGCGGCCTCGCCGTCGCCATTGGTTGCCTTGGCCGCCGCCACATGCTTTGCGTCGAGCATGCCATCGGTCGTCTTCTTCTCGCTGCTACCTCTCGACTCGGCATATCGGGCGTCAGCGCTGGATGCCGAGTCTGCGGCCATGGTGGCTACAGAGTGAGGCTGGGGAGGATTGGGATAGATTGGGATAGCTTCGAATGGAGCAAGAGCGGGGGGAAGCGTGAGGAATGCAGTCTTGTATCTTCATGATTTCTTTCAAACATTATACAGAACATCCGGCATCCGGTGGAATTGCGACTCTCTGCGGAGCTTTCAGACATTATACAGAGTGACTGTCGGCGGAGCTAGGCCATAGACTTTGTTTGCTTCAGCCGACACTGACAAGTAGGCGGGCGGCGGAAGGCAGAGTGATGGCGCAATTGATTGTTGCGGGCTGAAAAGCGCGCCAAACTGGGCGTGCAGAAGACGGGAGGCAGGCGCTGCGACACTTTAGTAAGCCATGTTGTGCTCGCATCTATTATTGCCATGCAGCATCGACGCAGATGGTAGACTGTCACATGACTACTACTACTACAGTAGTCTACGTACAGGCGGCAAGACTTGGCGTTGCGGGTACGTACGTAGTCTGAAGTGCATCATGCAGCTAATTTCCCACGCCCTGCATCGGTACGCACAGTACTACATACTATGCAGTCAAGCTACAAACCAGTCGCTCGGCGCAATTCCACCCCGGCGGACGAATGACTTCGGCGGTCGAAGCAAGCGCTTACCTTTCTTTGTTCATAGTATAGTTACTGTACTGCTACAGGGTACGTACACAAAGTTGCATCGCCAGACGACATAGCACATCGTAACACTGTCCAGCGTCACCACTGTCGCTCCCACCACAATGGCCTCGGTTTCCACCGACGATGTGGACGGACCTGGTCATCCCAAGCGGCAGAAGCTTCGCAAAGGCACTCACAGCTGCTGGGCTTGCAAGCGGCGGAAGGAGAGGTGTGTGCCATGCGCAGACGATTCAACCATCTGTCTTGGCTGTAGGAAGCGTAGCACTCCCTGCCTCGCCCAGGATCAGCCTGAGGAGACTACGCCTCACTTCTTGCCCGCCATCACCACCGCCATCGATGCGGACTCAAGGCCAGGCATCACAGCTCCACCTCCTGAGCCAGCACCGACACATATATGCTCTTCATATAGCCACCCGTCTAGCCGCACTCCATCCATGGCAGAAATATCCAAAACCCTCCATGCTGCACTGCCTTCGCCAGAAGAATGCGACATCATATATTGAGTAAGCAGTCGACACTCAGCTATGCTCAATGGCTCTACGCTTACTAGTATGCCCTACACCTGGCTGGATCCCAACCATCCCGACCATCCCAATGACCCCACATCGTCCGGCTCATTGCCGGCACCAGCTAGCGTAGATTCTCACCCAGTGCTCCTAGCCAGACACATACTGAACATAGTCACACTTCTTCAAGACCTGCACCCCAATATACACCATGAGTTAGCTGGCCTTCATGAGCCTCCCAGGGTAATGGCAGAGCGTCTTGCAGAGCTTGTCATTCGCCTCGTTACCTCTCAGGACCGAATGCTGGCCAGTGTAGAAGGTTTAGAGTGCGTTGTCATGGAGAGTATCTATCATGGAAATTGTGGCAGTCTGCGCCTTAGTTGGATGGCTTGCCGCCGAGCAATGCTCCTCGCACAGCTCCTCGGCCTGCATGTGCATGGGCCGGCTACTCCCAAACAATATCGAGTCCTAGACCACGCAACCCGATGTGATCCGCAGTACATGTGGTTCCGCATCGTCCATTATGATCGTTACATGTGCCTGCTACTTGGTCTACCTCAGGGCTCTACGGATGTCAGCATGGCTAGCATAGCACTACTAGCCACTGATACCGCCATGGGCGGCCTTGAAAGAGTGCAGTGCGTCATTGCTTCACGCATATTGCAGCGCAACGAATCCGATCCGACAAGCGTCGAATTTAGTGTAACCCAAAGTCTAGATAAAGAACTGCAGCGTGCTGCACAAACCCTCCCCAGCGAATGGTGGCTGGTCCCGGATCTTGGAAACCCAATGCAAACCAAGCAGAAAATCTGCTAGGACGTGCAGCGGCTGTACGTATGTGCAGATTTTCCACTTCAATCTTCTCAACCAGCCTCACGTACCTTACATGTTGCTATCTTCTACTGACCGGCGGTTCACATACTCCAAATTCGCCTGTGTCAATCCTTCGCGGGAGATCCTTTCTCGTTTCGCTGTGTTACGCAGATCGAACCAAGTCGCGTACAACTGCCGCACGGTCGATTACCTGGCCGTCATGGCTGCAGTGATGCTGCTTCTGGCCCACCTCGACAGCTATCGCCACCCTTCGCAGGTCGACATCATGACGCACCTGTACCTAGGCGACCGGGCCATGATAGAGCAGGCCCAGGAGAATTTACAGGAGGTCAGTCGGCTTAACGAAGATTCGCTCAGTCGACAAAGCGCAGAACTCCTGCAGCGGCTGCTCGCTATCGAAGCGGAAGCCGCTGATGGCTACGATGCCCCGGCACACAATGTTGTAGTGCAGCAAGTTGCGCACAACGCACCTCTCGTGGAAAAGGCAGAACAAGATCGTTCGCAGATGCACATTCCTTACTTTGGTTTAATTAAATTCGTACTCGAAGGCATAGCCGCTCGGGCAACAAGCTATCCGGATCTTTCGACTGAACATAGCGACATGCAGTCGCATACGCCAATTTCACACTCTGCCGTAGATCTCAACACTTTATACGCCTCCGCCGGCAGCTCACAGCGGGAACTCGACGATTAAGGAACTACACTCGATACGCAAACTAGCGACGAGCGCGAAAGCCTAATGCTAGCGACGCCACACTATTCTGCTGGAATAATGAGTCCCTCTGTAATGGGGAGTGAAAAATCAGGCCTCACAAGTGTTCATGAGAATGTGTGGAATCCAAAATTTTCAGAGGGCGGCTTCTTTGATGCTTTGTTGCCTGGTCTCACAGGAAGTGGCGATTGATCCTTGGAAGATATCGATATGGATTACTTCGAACGGCTGATGGCTGGCTCTACGTAGAGGGTAGGCCCTCCGCTGTGAATCTCTTACAACAGCATCGACTGATGAAATGTACTAATGGCAGCAGCGAGTCTGGAAATGAGTATCGAGCACTCAGAAATATCATACAGCCCGTCTAGAACTTCACTTTTTACCCTATATTACTCTCTTCCAGCTGCTTTAAAGTTCGTGTGTCGAGTGGCTGCTTGACGCTTATGGCAAACAACGCTTCATCCAACAGCAATCTTTGACTGGTTGTTCTATGTCGGCATCCCACATCCAATGCATCTTGTCCTTCAGCGCTTCAAACATCGGCGTAGCTTCCATCGTGACCCCTGGCTCGTTGCCAGACAACAGGCAACCCACTTCCGAACTTGTCACGACAAATTTCTGGCTACGGAACTGGCACGTCGTATCATAAGCCTGCAGCACCGTACGGACTGTCTCTTGCTTTGTGAACGGTGATTCACTCTGTCGGGCTTTTGAAGTCCTACGAGGAGCGCAAAGCCTGCGAAGCCGCCGACGATTGCAACGTTCAGACTGGCATCCCGCTATCTAGGGTCTTGTCAGTACGACACCCGAAGGCTCAATAACGCACTAGCCCTTAATCTAGCGCAATTTGCGCCCTGAGTGAACATCGAAGAGTGGTAGAGTGGTGCGGGTCGAAGATGTAGCGCATACCACTGTCCTATCCTCAGTTAGCGGTGCGACCTTGGCGGTCGAAGACGCTGCTAAACTTGCGACTTGCCTAAGATATGCGTGTAATGCGTGTACCGATAAGTAACGTTTCCAAAAGTGTACCGCTGGGTGCACGTGTCTACAACTTGCTGCGCTATTAGCGCGCCAGCTGCATCCAGAAGATGGCATTCGTGAATTCCCAGCTTATGGGTGCAACCAATTGGGAAAATATCCGAAAGGATTCCAAACACATTCGGCTCAAGTTCCCAAAGTGGGTGTTTCGACATGATGTTGAGACATCCGTCCACGACAAATTCAACCAGGCCCAGGCGCACGTGCTGGAGGGCCTATTTTTTTTCAGAATACTGACATCCCGGCCTGTCATGTATTCAAGTCTTGGAAAATCGAAGAGAAACTCTAGGATATTGCAGAAAGCAAGGTTATCGCGGATTTCCTAGACGGCGACTAGTAGTCAGAACTAGTGTGGGAGGGCAAGAAAAGTCCATTTGGTGTCGGTGCCTTACGAACTTCTATCCCGTAAACCGCCTTAGATACACTGGACATAAAACTTCAATCTATATACAGTCTATGAAGCTTGTCTCCACAAAGCCCTTAATCATAGCTATTGTAGGTGGCTGTACACCTATATTTGCAGTGTCAATGTTGGTGTTCCAGGTGCGCATTAAGGCGGCCCTCGCATTTCGCCGGCCAGTACTATATTGCGCCGATGAACAGTGGCTTCCTTCAGACGCCAAGGCTTTAGGGTTTTGAATTATTAGCCACAGATTCCTTCGTTCAAGCTTTAGTACACGACCCTGTGCGGAGATCATTGGAGGTTGAAAACCAGGTCATAGTGCCGCTACTAGTACCGTAGTCAACGACTGACCTCTACAGGAAATTCTTCGTCTTCACTCTAGGTGCAAGTGAGCACAAAGTAAGCGGATATCTACATATTGAGTATTTTGCCATACTTTAAATCGAAAAAGAAACCCTGCTCATCGGGTAGTTCGGCAGAGCTTCCTAGTTCAAGGATGTTCAACCCCGTGTAATGAACCCTGTTAGTAGCTGTCATTACATGGCGCATATCCAACCCCAGGCATAACTACGGCCAACAGGGGTTTACTTTATTGGTAGCCATTCACATTCACACCTCGATGCGAAGAGTTACATGATGCAAGGATCAATAAGCTCCCTCAAACCATATCAGATGCCACTAGATAGTTGGCATCACGATAGCAACGCTTGGTATCCAGCTCAATGCACGATTCAAACACTTCGGAAAGACATCACAATGCATGTTATAAAGCTCTCACTCTTTCCATATCTCATTTTTCTTCTCCTCACCCCACAACATCCAGTCTTTTTCTTAACACCTTCTTTTTGTTTCCATAATCACAGTCATTCGCTTCTGTTGATTATCGTTGCAGCGCCGTTCTGCTTGCCTCTCGTTCAAGTACTATCATCTTACAGCAGCCATGAAGACTTCTACTTCTTTGCATTGCTTAATCGCGGCGTTCACTGGGTTCACCAGCGCTGCAGTATTGCCCAGTGATGACAACGATGCCGTTGCTCGCCCTGTCCAGCGACTCGATGGACTGAAGCCGTCTCTTTTCAACAGTGCCGATATGAGACAGGCGCCAGGTCAAACGCTGCCTACAATTCTAAAACCTATTCACAGGCCTGGAGTCAAGCCCGATCACCTCAAAAATCTCGAATCCCGACAAACAGGTGGTAAGACTGGACCTCCAGTCATATTAAAGCCCATCCCGCGCCCCCAGGCTCTCAAGTCCGGTCTGGTCACCAGCCTCCAAGCCAGACAGGAAAATATGGTGCCGGCCAAGGAAATTGTCCTCGGATATGGTGCTGAGGGCATGTCGGCCTTGGTTGACGTTGCTATGAAGCAGCCTGCCGTGGTGTTGGAAGAAGTCGCCGGAATCGCCTCCGTCAAGTGCGCCGACGCCGCTGTGTCCATGACCTTTAGCGATACTGCTGCTGTCAAAGCCGCCTCTGGCGCATGGCCTAAATCCGACTTCATCATCATCACTTACTCTCCGGATGGCGACTGCAACACTGCCGATGAGCGTGGTTTCTACACCGTTTCTGACCTTGTTTTTGATGAGGCTTCTCTCACTGCCACTGCTTCTGGCAAACGCTCTGCTCTAGATGAGCAAAGTGAAGATGCCGTTGTCGAATTTGATACTATCACGGCTCCTGCCAAGCGGGATCTCGAGGCGTCAATCGGCGGCGAGATTCATGGTACCATCATCGACACGGAAAATCTCAAGATTGTCGTCGATACAGCGAGGTTCGACAGCAATATCCGTGTCAAGGGCGGCTTCCGTTTCAACTTTCTCAAGTTCAAGCCCAGCAAGATGTATCTTGACGTCGACTACTCCGGTTCCGTGAACCTCAACGTATCTACGACTGTCGCTGCTTCCTTCTCTTCCGACCTTTACAACTACCAGCCGCTTTCTGCGTCTGTCTCAGCTTTTAGCATTCCTGGAATTCTCGATGTCGGCCCTATCGCACAATTCGGTCTTGGTGTCGAGTTTGCAGCATCAGGTACTGTCGATGCCACCCTCGGTCTCCACACCGAGATTGTCAGTGGGCAGGTCCACCTCGATCTCCTTGACTCCGATAAGTCCTCCAGTAGTGGTTGGAAACCCGAGACCACCGTCTCTTCCAATGTCAACGCCGAGGTGTCACTACAGCTCAACCCGTATCTCGACTTGAACCTCGCCCTTGGTATTCGCGTTTTCAAAGGCGCCATTGACCTGTCGACCGGATTTGAAGTCAAGCCTCAGATCATCAACGCCTTCTCTGCTGACCTCGATTTTGCGTATGCCAGTAGTTCAGGCGTCACCTTCACTAAACCAGACACGGCTACCTGCCCTAACGGCGCCTGGTTCGCGAGCACTTTCAACATGGATGTTGTTGCCTACGTTAGAACTATCTTCAGCAAGACGCTGTTCAACGTTAATGCTCCCATTTTCCAGTCTCAGTGCTGGAATTTCGCCGGTTGATCTTTGATTTTGATTTCAAAAAAAAGGGAAGAGCGTTTGATTTTTGGATGGCAAATAGATTGATGGACAAGGCCCTAAATGTTTCCATGGATAGATTCAATTACGTCGAGCAGAGTAGAAAAAGTGTGGAATTAGATAACTTTTGTTTTGAACTATTCCATTTCGCGAGGCATAAAGTAAACTATGTATTAAAATCGCTGCCAACGTCTGTACTGAGTCTCCAAAGAGTGGTTAGGCAATCAAAGCTCTATCAATATTCCACTATCATGCTAGGAGCGTTTTTTTCGGCCTTGCCATTGAGCGCACACTTTTTTAAGGGAATGTTACTGAAAATCTGGTATTCTATAGTATATCATGAAAGGGTGTTGACCTTATTACTTCGACATAGGCCCATGGATTATTGTTGTAAGGTTTCGGGTGCTGGAATCACTCTTCTGGCTTGCATCGTCCCTTGCGTCGATTCTGCTGCTCAAGCCCCGCTCGACCTTTATACTGTCTAAGTAAATGTTCTCTCCTTCAGATTCCACATCTTTGCTCCCACCATTCCACGTTATCGGCCTCGAGTGGGTTGCTTTATTCGACAGAACACCAGAAGATGGGTTATTGGCCCCAGATCGCGGATCACTGGTATGTGAAGACGTCGAGCCTAAAGAGTGGCGGAAAAAGACTCGAAGTGTTGGAGCTGACGCACAGATCAAGCCTAGGTCGGCTTCGAGTACGGTCCAAATCCAGCCATAATAGGCGTACCATGTCGCATCGTATGTGACTAGATTATGATAAGTCGGATGATCCTATAACGCTCTATTGCGATACTTACAATAGTAAAGATAAATTGCATAATATAATCTCATGATACCACAGATCGTGGTCACAAGACCCAAGCCAAAAATGCCACAGACTGCGAGCTTCTGGCGCTTGGGCATTTGAAGATTATAGATAAGGATAGCAGGAAGCAGGCAGATAACAAGGTCTTGCACGGTTGAAACAGCCGTGACAGAGACTATGAATGGTCCTTCTTCGGCACAATCCTTTCGTCCAACAGCTACAGAGCAGGTGAAGAAAATAAGAATAATAAAAGTGAAGAAATACAGAATGCAAGCCGCTATGCATACCCATACTAGGTATATAAATCTGGTAGTTGAGGAGCCAGTCAGCCGGCGGTAGAAGAGCAAGATTGAAATTTTGATCAGCGTCGTGGAAAGCAAGTAAGTGAGTTCGATTGCCATGGTGACCTAGATATTTTCAATGAGCTTTCTTGAAGAATAGAAAAGTGAGCCCGGATCTTACGTATGTTGTTGTGTTCTTTGTTGTCGGTGTTTGATCCCACATATGCCATTGGAAGCCATAAATCTTCACGCCTTAAATATGTTAGTTGTGGTAAGATGGCTGATATAAATGCTCATACCGAGAATTGTGGCAATCGATAGTCCTATCAAGGGTATCATCGATATGCTTACAACAGCATCATCAGCACCAGCGTTTTTGGTCATGGTCAGTCGTGCCCACATGCGGGCGACATAGACGAGAAGCGTTACCGCCAACAAAATGGACAGAGCTACTGGGGCGCCCCATGTCCTTTCCTCTGGAGAGATGTAATTGGGAGTCGGCCAACTGGCAATCACTTCGGGAGGCACGTGAATACCGCCCCCGCGACTAACCAGGGCATTGGTGTCACGCGGGAGACCAGAGGCGTTGATCATCTTGAGATATAGCAGAGGATAGCTTTGCTTTCGGGGGGTCTAAAGAGAGCGTAAGAGCGATAAAGGAGATTTGTTTCATCTGAGCAGTTGGGTTCCTTTAGAGGAAGTGTTCAGGAGTTGGCTTGATAAGTAAACACGGCTCGGGGTAGGCGCTGAATTCTAGGCTTTCTACTAGAACCCTCACTGCCAATGACTCTCAGGGACGTGACATGATTTTCTCGCACTCAGACGTCAAACTGTGGAACTATTTCTCGCTAGACCACGATCAGCCCCCTAATCGCTGCTGTCAATCATGTTCGCGCTACACAAGGGCAAGCCACTTTTCGGAGAAATGATGCAAATTGTGTTAGCGCACCTTTCCGCAATGAAAATCTCCTGCTTTAAAGGCTGCACTAGTAGCACGCTACAAGGCACGATCTGCAAAGTCTTTGTACCACGATTCAGAGATCCTAGAAATTGGTCCGACAATCACCCGACGCAGCACGTAGCACTAGAAATTGAGGGCGAATCGAGAGGATCTTGTCAAATTTCGCAAGGAAGTCCGATGAACAGGGCGGAAGCGATTTCATCCTAGTGACAATCTAGGGTCAGCCAACTCATACCTTACTCGGTCGGGATGCCCCTCCCCATTGTAAAACTAAACTTTGTTAGACTTAGCGTTAGGGCCCTGCAGGATCGTAGAAGTGCTTAATCAGAGCTAGAATGACGCTAGAAGTTCGTATATCTTGTGTTAGTGGTGCAACAAGGCTATACGCATCAAATAAGCCGCTTCTTATTATGATAAGATATGATAGGGCAAGTTGTCAAACAGTGTATATTAGATAAATGACAGAACTGTCGATTGAAGAAAAGCTTACGGAACTTATAAGCAAAACGATAGACCTGCGCCAAGTAGAACTTGCTGAGAGAACGTGAGAGGACTGCTGGCAGTGGACATGGCTTAGCTGCAGAGAAGTAACCCTACTACAGAGAATCAATCAATTTGCAATCATCTTAAGGTGGCTCCAACGGCATGTACGTGACTGAGTACAGGCTTGCCAATATCACAATCGCTAGACCTGGGTCAGATCAATGCGCTGAGATTCAGCCTTAGAAAGGCGTATCTCTCCAAAGGAAAACACTTTGTCGTTCGAGCACTAGTAACCTTGCGATCTAGCTTCCTCATGGCCGAGAGCTAAGTAGTGGCGAATATGATAGGCAAAATCTTCTCCTACTTGGCCTTGGAAAATGGCCTTAAACTCTGCTCCGCCAGGCCTTTTTGCCTGTCGGCCGATTTTTCTGATGTAATTCTTCGCGTCAGATTTAAGCAGAACCACTCACAGGCCCGATTATCTTTTTGCGTCTCATCTCACGACCGCCTCTGCCATAATCCTAGAGGTGTTACGACCTCTAGTTCATGAAATCGCATATTGTATTCTCGCCACTTAGGTTGAACATTCCCGATACTGTACTAATGACTTGGTGATGATTGTCTCTCCGTTCTCATCATTGTCAGCTCCGACAATCTCATTATCAATATCAGCCACAACTGTGGTGACAACCTGCATGCAGAGAGGATCTGCTTGCAGTCGAATGGCTTCAAAGTACTGCCACACGTTCTGCATGGCTAAGAGAGGAATCGAGGATGCGATCGCACCTCAAAGCGGCTTTGGATACGTTTTGCGTAGTAAGGCAGCCGCCATACCGGCAATCCAGTGCCCGTACGATATCCACGGCGCATTGACAGGCAGCATGGAGGCGTCTAGTCCTTGGTGGTTTTTGGAAGAGCAATTCTCAGCAAAGTATGCCATGTCAGCCACAGCTTCATCCTTGTTCAATAGTTGGAGACTAGCTTCCGAGAGATCTACACGGACAAAATAGCGGCCTTAGTACCGCTGCTCAAGGACCACGAATGGCAGCCCCCACATCATCAGCGATATGGCCGACAGTACCTTGCTCGGTCGAGCCAATGATGTCCTCCCTCGGCTTATCCGCTGCATCAATAACAATTACGGAATGACCTTTGGAATATCTCTGCACGTCATACCAATGCCCTTGCCCGAATAGTATTAAACTATGGTGGAGAAGGGATGCCGAGTGTGTTGTTTGCTGAGTAAAGCTAAACGGTTGATGAAATGCGGCATAACATCTAGCGGTAACGTGGTTCACAAGCGAGTCGGCACCCCAAGCGAGTCGGCAGCTCCCCACCAGCGCGTTAACGTTAACACTACAACGCGTTATATCTCTACCACATTAAATCTAATAAGTATTTTCTAAAGCTAATATTTAACTTACTATCTTTAAAATTAATTCCTAACGCGTTTAAAGTGTTAAGCGTGCTGCTAAAATCTATAGCGTTCCTTGAATAATAGTATAAGTGTCAGATTGTGATGGGTTTTCAAAGACGGGTGTAAAACTGTGATAAAATATGTGTGATAAAATGATTTCTTGATCGTGTTTATTGTTGTGTTGCCTCCTGATCCACGCTGATCTTACTGAGATGATCGCGGTGGATCGT